GCGGTTCTGCTCACGGCGGAGACCTGGGCCTCCATTGTCAGCAGAGGGTCCAAAAGGACTCCCAGACTCTTTACCAATGATGACGGGCGTAACGCCTCGCCATCCAGGGTGGGCAGATGGATGTCCCCACTGCCCGGTCCACCCAGCCATAGGATCTCCGTCTTTGCTGGATTCACCCTCAACCTGCTGGCACGCAGCCATCCAGTAACGGCATCGAGGCACTGATGGAAACAATCGGGTACAGAGTCCGGTCGGCCTTCCATCTTCAGCACCAGCTGAGTGTCATCGGCATACTGATAACACTCAAGCCCAAAACCTCGAACCAGCTGAGCAAGTGGTCGCATATAGATGTTAAACAACAGAGGGGAGAGAATGGCCCCCTGAGGAACCCCACAAGATAGAGGGGACCTCTCAGAGACCAGGCCTCCCCTCTCCACTTGCTGTCCACGGTTGTGAAGGAAGGAGGACAGCCAGTTTAAAGCTGTCCCCCAGATTCCAGCAACAGCAAGGCGGTGGGTCAAGAGATTGTGGTCGACTGTGTCAAATGCTGCTGTGAGATCCAATAGCACAAGCAGCGCTGATCCGCCCTGGTCAAGCTGGCATCGACGGTGATCCGTGATGGAGACCAGCACAGTCTCTGTCCCGTGCCCCGCACGGAAGCCGGATTGGAAGGGATCTAGTCCGGCTGTGTCGTCTAGGAATTGCTGCAACTGCTCCGCTGCTGCCCTCTCAATCACCTTGCCCAGGAACGAGAGATTTGAAACTGGGCGGTAACTGGAGGGAACCGAGGGATCTAAATCTGGTTTCTTCAGCAAAGGAGAGACCACCGCCTCTTTTAAACCCTCTGGAAAGACTCCTTGCTCAAGGGAGCTGTTTATGATCTTCAACAGAGGGTCACGTAATCCCTCCAAGCAGGATTTCACCAACCAAGAGGGACACGGATCGAGGGAGCAAGTGGTCGGTCTAGCTGCAGCTATGAGCCTATCGACAGCCCCTGCATCCAGCGGGATGAACCGGTCGAGGATGGGCCCAGCAAGTGGCCATGGGGTCTCAAGTTCTCTCACTGTATCAATTGTGGCAGGGAGGTCCCGGCGAAGTAGCGAGATCTTGTCTGCAAAATAGCTCTGAAAAACCTCGGCTGGAGGGGCCTGATTACCACTTTTTGGGACGGTAGGAACCGTCGTTAGAGATCGAATTATTTTGAACAATTTTGCCGGGCGTGAGCTAGCAGACGCTATCAAAGAAGCATAATATACTCACTTTGCCTCAGTGATAGCATGCTCATAGGATTCCCTGAATGCCTCATAAGCTGATCTCGATGCTCCGTCACGGAGTTCTCGCCACACGCCCTCCAGCTGTCTCTTTTCCCGCTTCATCAGTCGAAGTTCCTTGGTGAACCAAGGAGACCGATTTCGGCGGGGTCTGAGAGGGCGTCTAGGGGCGATCTCGTTGAGTGCATTGGATAGCCTGATGTTCCATGTGTCCACCTGCACATCGATCGAGTCGCTGGCAGGCTCCAGATCCCTCAGAGCATTCCGGAACCTACTGGGTTCCATAAGTCTCCTTGGGCGAGCCCAAATTGGCTCGGCGCCCTTGCAGCGTGGGTAGGCATGCTCCAACCGGACTCTCAGGGCGCAGTGATCCGACCATGGAACCTCTATTGTGGAGGCTTGGGTCACTTGAATTCCTGCGCTGAAAATCAAATCTAACATGTGCCCCGCCCGATGCGTGGGCCCAGTAGTACAGAGGGAGAGTCCTAGTGTCTCCATGGTAGACACTAGGTCCATAGCCGCTGATGAACAAGAGTCTGCATCAGCGTGGACGTTGAAATCCCCCAAGACGATAAGTCTGGGGAACCTCAGGGACCACTCCGACACAGTCTCAAGCAGCTGGGATAGGCTGTCCGCTGGTGCGCTGGGCGCACGGTACACCAGCAGAAAGGCTATGCTCTCACAGGAATCCCACACCAGGCCAACACTTTCAATGCCAGAGATGCTCAGCACAGGAACTGCCCTAAGAGAAAAACTTTCTCGGGCGAGCATAGCCACCCCACCCCCCCCGCCTCCCAGTCCGCATCTGGTGAGTGATTGCATAACCTGGAGATGTTATTTCCTGGAGTAGGATCTCATCCCCCTCTTGGATCCAAGTTTCTGTAATACACACTAGGTCAGCTCCCTGATCATTAAGAAAGTCCCTGATGGTAGCAGTTTTGTTCCTTATGGACCTAGCATTCACTAACACCAGAGTAGGAGGGGAGGAAACTGGTTGCCTGTCACAGATGTACCTGGGGATAGGCTGCAGGTTAGAGGGGGGCCGAGTCTCCCACCGACTCATTCTCCCTCTAGTATTCGGCCTGCGCCTACCGTCGTATCTCCCTCTCCCAGAGATCGTAGGAATCCCCATGCATAGACCTACTTCTCTTGGAGGCTCTGCAGCACAGATTAGGTGCCCAGTGTTTGACTGGCCATCTGAAAAGGAGATGGGGCATGGCCAATTATACAGGGTTAGCAGAACTTCAGTGGTAGACTTACACCAGAGGGACACTACCATTAACCCGTCCCAGTCATCAACAGCAGACATTAAAGATTGTAGTCTTAAGGTATATTTTTAAAGGCCATTTACTAATGGAAAAAAAACTGCTTGTCCTTTCCAAAATGCCCAGCATATTTTGATGTGTGTTCCTGAGTTCACAAAAAAATAAAAACTTGAACTAGGTGGTATCTAACTGTTTCCCTTTTGCTGTGGCTTCTTCAAAACCGTCGCAAATAGCACACTTTCTTATTTACTTTAAAATCCACTTATTAGTCCTGCTTCAAGTACGGGAAGCACTAGCTGAGAAAATGCACTGCTCTGATTACTCGCACTGCTCGCATTGATCTGCAGCTCTCGAGAGTTGTTTGATTCATATTTTATGTGCCCGCTGGCAATGGGTAAAGTTTAAATTAAATAATCATCTGAAAGGCCTCTGCGGTAAAGTGTCCAAGCATTTTGTAGAAATCATAACACACAACAAGTCAAGTTTGGTGCATTAAAAGCCTTCATTTCACACATGTGATGGGTCGAGATTGAGTCCCTCCTGCTTTTGTTAGGCAGGATATAAATAAAGAACAGGAACACTTTACATCCTTGTTTTTGTTTTAAATTTGAGAATTGTAAAAAACAGAAGCGGGTATGAGCTTTAATGCTTCGATGAAGGTGTCATGTGATTTATCCATCATATGTACCTCCATTGCTCTGCTTACACTAGTTCTGTGAGCTGAGACTTAACTGGAAGATGGTGGCTTAAGCAAAGGAAGACTTCTATGGGCTGAACTCCCTATTCAAAACATAGGCACAGGTGTCTGCCTCTGAATTGAGAGACACCTTTCCTGAGTTATCAAAATGCTTTGAATGTGGCAAGCTTTCAAATTCCCCAAACCTCTTCATTAGACATGATGTTACATAGGTTAGGACACAGGGAATAAACAAGGAGCCCCAAAGTCAACCGTGATGGATTGACCATTATATCTATTTGAAGGTGCAATGACCCAGATGTTCTGTCCCAGTAAGAAGACTGGCATGCAAGTTGAAGAGTGCAGAATATGAAGAAATGTATTATAGAAGCTATGGTGATTGTTGCTAGCACTAATCAGAGTTGCAGACCAAAAACATCTGGAGAGACACTGTTGCCCATCCCTAATATAGATGTTCACCAGATTTCTGAAAGCTGAGAGTTTCTGGCTCAGCTACAAGGGGCATTTCTACATCAACACATTCATCATGTGGTCATGATATAGCTAGCAAGAGCTGGTGTATGGCTCTGCACACCACAGTACATCACCAAAGTGACTCAAACTGAAAACTGAAAAGGGTACGTGTTTCACTTAGCAACTGTAATGACGAAATTGTGTACACTGGAAATTTGGTATTTTTCTCTAAAGGATTTTTAGCTGGTAAATAGTATGGCAAAGTAATCTAGTGTTCTGTAGTGGTTAGAACATTGAACAGGTCCTTAGTAGTCTAGGTCCAGCCTTCACACTCAGGGGATGACTTTGAGCCAGCCATCAGCTGTCAACATTTTTACAAAGTTGCTGTAAGAATAAGGGAATGTGTTGTATGTACTTACCACGCTGCCATATACAATTGGCCCATTCAGTCTTCTTTGGAAACATTTCTTTAAAATCTCAGGTATACATTGTGCTAGTGGGATCCTATAAGGCAAACTTATACAGATGTTGGACTACGGTTCTCATGTAGGTTTGTGATTGTCAAAGTTGGAATCCAAGAACATCAAGGGTGAGGTATATTTTTCAGTCCTGTCTCAAAGAGAAATTATCACTGTATTAATTCAAAGTGATTGAATGAATACAGGTGGAATAGGGTGAACTTATCTGGAGATAAGATGAATATGTCATCCGAACCAAAACTCTTGGGCAGATCGCATTGACATCTAGTTTCTTGATGTTTCATTTTTTCAGTGTAGCCTAGAATTTCATCTGTAACCACTGCTATTTACCAGACTTCCTTTCTGAAAAAGTCAGCTCAGGCACAGGTGTCTGGCCTACATGTTTCTTGCTGAAAACAATTGCAGAGATTTAAGGTGACACAAGATGTTTTTTGTGGTTCATTCTTGTGTGCATCTGGGCCCGCTGTTTCTACCCTTCAATTACTAGCTGTGTATGATATAGCTACGTGCACAAGTCATTCTGTACTGACAACTTGGTTTTAAATATCCATTTTTAGCAAATAGCCATGGTGTATTTTTTTTTGCACTGACTTATATTTGGAACTACCTTTGGATGTCTTATCATAGCATTTTCATTTGATTAGTCATAATTGACTGTTGCAGTACTTCTGAAAGAGATAGAAAGATGTTGCTTCTGTGAGTAACTTTTGGAATAATTTAATAGTTGATATTTCATCGTGACTATTTTAATTCTTTTCACCCCTCTCTCCACTTCCTGTTGATAATGACAAATAGATATGCCTGCATGTATTTATTTTAGCATATTTTGTTTCAGGTTGTCAGAACATATCCCTATCTTTGCAAATTGCCAGCAGAGTCGAGGATATACACAGTTCCTGGCTACTTTGCTTGAAGAATTACATTTCAAACATGAAGACTTAGAAAGCCTGACAAGAATATTTAAAAGTGATTATCTTACTTACTGGTAAGTTCAATTTTGTATAATTTCAATTTCTATTTTTTTTTCTATAAGATCCCCAGCCATGGGGTTTATTAGCAAAACAAAAACCTTGAAAGGGATATTGCTAAAATTTAAATGTTTTCTGACTGAAGAACTCATATCTGACTGTAATTAAAGAAAGAAATCCATGAGTGATCATCATTTATGGAATGCATAGACTTGTCTTCTCCAATCAGGAGCTCTCCAGGTATTTTGGACTGAGACATCCATCACCTTCAGCAAGTGTTACTATTGGTCAGAAATTATGGAGGTTATCGTCTTAAACACTGAGAGCCACTAGGTTGGAGAAGACTGATGTATACCTTTCAGCAATCATATGTACTACCAAGGAATCAACATTGGCATCTAAAAGCATTGACTTTAGTTTTGTGAAAACACACAAACGTCGGTTTTCTGGGTATGGATGGGGGTGGAGCTTGGACTGCCCTTTCAAATTGTACTATTCTGGAAGTTGTAGTCCAAAAGGGTAGTAGTTGACATCCTGAATTCGTAGTCCAGAACTGCAGATTTGGAAAGGCTCCATAATTGGCTCAATGTGTTCGCAATGGTGGCACTATTACCATGATTCTAAAAACCTCCAAACTCTAGAGCAGTGGTTCTCAACTTGGGGTCCCCAGATGTTTTTGGCCTTCAATTCCCAGAAATCCTAACAGCTGGTAAACTGGCTGGGATTTCTGGGAGTTGTAGGCCAAAAACATCTGGGGACCCCAGGTTGAGAACCACTGCTCTAGAGAGTAGGCCTGCTCAGCTATCCTTTGGATTGAACAAGATGAGATTTCAAGCAGACAATATCTAGTTCCCCATTTGTAACTAAGCATGCACTTAGACTGTAGAATAATCCAGTTTGACACCACTTTAAGTGCCATGGTGCAATGATACAGAATCCTGGAATTTGTAATTTGGTGAGGCACCAGCACTCTTTGACAGAGAAGGCTAATGACCTCATGAAACTACAACTACCACGATTCCATGGCTTTGAGCCATGGTGGCTAAAGTGGTGTCAAACTGCATTAATTCCACAGTGCAGATGCAGTGATGCTGGATCTTGACCAACAATTGATTTTGCTGTACAATCCAGCAAGTACAAATGCAAAAGGAGGGTGGGGTTCAAATCAATCTGGAAAGCGAAGTGTCATATCACTACTAGAGAAAAACCTCTGTGGGCTACACTAGACAACAGAGAAAGGTCAGAATCCTACAAAATATTTCCATTTAACATATAGAGATGCAGTTTTATTAGAGTGAGGAAAGGTGAGGAAATTTTGAGGAAATGGCTGTGACTGAAAGATAAAGATTACTACATCTACCAAGAAAGTTGTATTTCTCAATTAAACGTGTGTCCTGTCCCCATTAAAATGCTTGGTTGTAGTTGTGTTTTAAGGTGCCTACTAGCTTTATCAGGAGCTTGTTTGTGCAATCAAATATATAGAGCTTTAGAATGAGTTAGTGTTATATTCAAGATGAAATCTCTCTGGCCAGCACTGGCTGGGCTTTGGAGAAGGTTTTATCTACAGTTGCAAGTTACCACACCGTAGGAAGGATGTGGACAAGCCCAAGGAGATTCACTGGAGAGGAATGAGGTGATAAAGGTTTCAGAATGCAAGGCACATGAAGCAAGATTGATACGACCAGTGTGCATGTATTTAGCCCACTAAAAAAAGTAGATTGAGAAGGAAACTATGAAGAAGTAGCAAAGATTGCCACAAAAAATCTTTTTAGGGGCAAACGGCTTTTTGCATTGCCTCTGAAGGAAGTTTGCCAGTTCTGTTCATGTAGAAATCCTATTGTCTTCAGTTCACTTAGTTCCCTAGTAGAGATGTAAAATCTCCAGTGAATTGAATATGGGGAGTAGAAGGCTTTTCCTTTTTTTGTCCATGATTGGTATATTTAAAGTACAGCTCATTGAGACCTTAATTAGAAACTGAATTGCCTTTTTCAATTTTTGTTTTATTTATTTTTTGTGATACATGTGGAGACACCTTATCCTGAGCTGCAAGAAATGCATGAGTTGCCAAGCTTTTTAAAAGCAAGCAAAACCCCATAGGGTTTTTGTCTGTTTTTAAAATATAGATCAGTAAAACAACTTGTTTGGTCCCCACTAGATATTTGTTGTGTCAAGTACACATACAATTCCCATGAAAATAACTGAGAAAAGAAAACTAAGATCAGGAATTGCAGTGATCTGATACTGTAGCTCCACTGGCCGCCGACTCAATTCAAAGTGCAAGTTATCACTTATAAAGTCCTATATGCTTCAGGTTCAACCTAACTTCTACAAACTGGTGTGGTGTTTTATGATATGTTGGTTGTTATTGCTTTCATATTATTGTCTATGCACTTATTGTATTTTATGTGTTTGCACCTTTGAGTGCTTTGTGATCTGCCCAGAGATAGCAGTGGGGTATACTTAAAGTATTATTATTATTATTATTATTATTATTATTATTATTATTATTATTTGGTTGTTGTAGGTTTTTCAGGCTGTGTGGCCATGTTCTAGAAGCATCTATCCTGCAACTATGGCAGTCATAGATGCAGGTGAAACGTCAAGAGAGAATGCTTCTAGAACATGGCCATACAGCCTGAAAAACCTACAACAACCCAGTGATTCCGGCCATGAATGTCTACGACAACACATTATTATCATTATTATTACTATTATTATTATTATTGCATAAAACTCATATGATTGTAAAAAGCTAAGATTAGAATACTTCCCTTTCAAATTGTAAGTAAAATACTTTAGATAAGGCTTTCATATACTTACTATGTTAGTGAAAACATGAAGTTATACAATTTGTTTCATATATGAGTTTCTTACTTTTTTCATTTTAATTCCTCATATGTAACCTAATAGGTAGATTGAGTACCAAAAATATAAGTTAACATCTTACTTCTTAGCTAAAAAACATTTCTCCCATTTCAACTGAAAAGCATATGCTTTGTTATTAACTGCCATGTAGTACTGATTAAACCTTTTGTTCTTTTTTTTAACCTGCAGAGTAAGATGTTAGGCAAAACCTCCTGAAGAAGATTGAACGGACACTATTGGTGGCTAGAAGACTGAATTTTGATACATGATACAGGGTGAAAAATTAAAACTCATTGGACTATTATCAGCTGTTTCCTATGAATAAGTGCTGTAGGTGTTTTCCGAAAATGGAGGTTAATAATCCATTATGGAATTTATCAAGCCAAACTGAAGTTCTGTCATGGAAAAAAAAATCACCTTAAAATACTGCAAGAATATTAAATGCTTTTCTCATTTGTATAGGTGATCCACACAAAGTTTTAAACATAAAGATCGAACCGCTTTCCAGTAGTTTCAGCAAGTTGCACTAATGGAATGCCAAAGGGTTATATGTCTGTATCTTTTGCTTTTCATAATAAAATTGTAATAAAATTATATCACTCAGTGTTTGGAAAACTGTGGAGCTAAATATAATGTTGATTTTCACCTTTACAAGATTAGGTTCAGTGTATCATAGATGTGAAGGAGACATTTGAAGTCTTCTAGTCCAACTCCTTTCTCAGCATAAGATCTATAATGCAAGGTAGAAGAGGGCAGATCTGGCAAGATAGCCATCTGTCCTCTGCTCAACTACTTGTACCGAAGAAGAGACCACAACTTCTTGCAGCAGTCTGTTTCATTGTTACAAAGCTCACACTGTTAAGGTGTTGCTCTGAATAATTTACTGAAATTTCCTTCCTGCCTTTTCCACCACTGATTCAAGTCCTCACCCGCAGAGTAATGCATGGATTTTTAGTTTAGCCAACCATTTGGCCGTTACTTTTATTTCTTATTCCTTTTACATTGCAGTCTCTGTTACTCCAATCCTATACATAACCAATCAGAGGCAATCCCTTGTGAATTTCATAGGTTTTATACCCTAATATTAAATAGTACCTTGTGTCTATCGCCCTGAGGGGAATTATAGACATGCAAAATAATGCATCTTTGTGGGTCAGTTTCATGCCCTTTATTCACACAGTGAAGACATCTGCCCTTACGCTTTGCTACTCTGCTGCTGAATACGCATGCCTAGTGTGCAACACATCTCACTACTTTAAACCGGGGGATGTGCTCTTAATGAGACATGCAGCATTATCACAGGATGTCTACAACCTACACTACTGGAGAATTATTGTTATTGTTTATTGTTTATTTTTGTTTTGAGATTTATTTTACTGTTTTGTATTGATTATTTTGTTATTGCCTTCGTTTTATTGATGTACTGCGGGCTTGGCCTCATGTAAGCTGCACCTAGTCCCTTGGGGAGATGGTAGCAGGGTACAAATAAAGTTATTATTATTATTATTATTATTATTATTATTATTATTATTTTATACTGTTTAGCTGGTATTGTACCACCTGATATCCACCGGGAAGTAGCAGCCAGTAATAAAAGAACCAAAGCAGTGACATCTCCAGCCCATCCTCTTTTTGGATTATCAGCCAGCAAGCGAATGCCTTAAATCAAGGAATAGCTTCCTAACATCTGCAGGAACACCTCAGCAAGCGAGAGTCCAAAAGTGGCAGGCTGAAACCCAGAACCTCAATCTGTGGCAGAGACCAGACAAGAAACTCCCTCCTGGGGACACAAGACTGGGCGACTTGGAAAGCTCTGAACAGACTAAGCTCTGGTACCATGAGATGCAGAGCCAACCTTAAGAAATGGGGCTACAAAGCGGAGTCCACGACATGCAAGTGTAGAAACTTATGTATACACAAGTATATACAGTAGCCATTAGGGATGCTATAGTACTCAAAATGCAAGCAGAACATTCAGGAGATGACAGTAGAAGAGTAACAATTGGGAATAAAATTTCATCTGTTCATTTCAAAGAGGGAGATGCTTCTGTCTATACCTTCCAGATGTAAGGGGAAACCAGAGAGCTGTCATGCTTATCAGCCACAAAATACATTTCTTAAGGGCACAGCAAATCTTGTATAGTTTATATCTATTTGTCCCTGTCTCCTTCAAGAAACCAAGATGGGAAGGCCATTTTTTAAATCTGCAGTTCTCTACTAGAGCTCCCATGACCTCCATGTAACAGTAAAGTTACAAGACTCCCCTAAGAACAGGAATTGGCTGTTACGAAAGTAAGTTCAAATATTTTCTCATGAGTTCAACCATGATTCAGTTCTGTCCCATTACTGCAGGAAAAACATTTAGATGTTATTATTTTTTAAAAAAATTTCCCCACCAAATACACATATTTAATTTTTCTATTCATTTCTATTATATTGTTGCTGTTCAGGAATTTTATTATATTTCAGTTTTGGTTTCAGTCACTGTTAGCTGGCATGCAAAGAAAGTTTTCTTATAAAATAAATATTCAAATGCTGTATTAATGCTGTGAGGTTGTTGCAATCAGGTATCTAAATTTTCCACCACATACGCTAAGGATGGAAAGTCAAGAAGGATCAATGTAGCTGCCATAGCAATTGCGGCAGTTGTTTCATTATTGATATTTCTACATATTTAATAATATCCAGTTTTTCCCCCAAAACTGGGATTCAAGGCGTCTGACAGTGAGATTCCTTAAAAGGTACAGATGAAAAACAAGTATTTCATAAATTTAAAATGTGTAAATTATTGTTTCAGAATTAGAAGTTTTAAAAATGATGTTAATAGGTAAAGATAAAAGTTTCCCATTGACATTAAGTCTAGTCATGTCTGACTCGGGGGGTGGTGCTCATCTCCATTTCTAAGCCAAAGAGCTGGTATTGTCCGTAGACACCTCCAAAGTCATGTGGCCAGCATGACTGCATGGAGCGCCATTATCTTCCCGCCAAAGTTGTACTTATTGATCTACTCACATTTGCATGTTTTCGAACTGCTAGGTTGGCAGAAGCTGGGGCTAACAGTGGCAGCTCACCCCGCTCCCCAGATTCGAACTGCCAACCTTTTGATCAGCAAGTTCAGCAGCCCAGTGGTTTAACTCACTGCACCACCAGGGGCTAATAAGATTTTTTAAATAATGTGTTCATTAAAACATGATTAAAGAAATCAAAGTTATATAATATTATGAAAAGTGGTTTACAATTAAATCAGTCAAATATCAGTCACCCCACTCTGCAAGCACTAAATTGCCAATACAGTGATGTATTACTTTGGCAAAGTAATATAGTCATGCAAAAAGTGTACACTTTAAAACCCTGCTGAATGTTTGGAAACTTCATTTTCCAAAAAAATGGATACATGTGGGGAATTTATGAACCGTGAGTTTTTAGGAAATATTGTTCAAGATAACTGTCATTCAACCAGCCTCCCTACAAAACAAAACAGCCCCCAACCCACATCCTCTGCCTGCAATGCTGAAAAAGATATTGCAGTAGAGGTGTGGTTTTTCGAGCAATCACCTCTCCCTGGTTTTTCTGAAGGGGGCCTAAAACCAGTCTGAGACCAGTCTTCCTAATGTTCAGATAGAATCTCTTTTCTTGTAGTTTGAAGCCATTGTTCCACCTCCTAGACTCCAAGGCAGCAGAAAACAAGCTTGCTCCCTCCTCCCTATGACCTCCTCTCACATATTCATACATGGCTATCATGTCTCCTCTCAGCCTTCTCTTCTTCAGGCTAAACATGCCCAACTCTTGAAGCCACTCCTCATAGGGCTTGTTCTCCAGACCCTTGATCATTTGAGTCACCCTCCTCTGGACACATTCCAGCTGTGCCCAGAATTGGATACAGTGTGATTCCAGGTGTGGTCTAACCAAGGCAGAATAGAGCATGGGGAGCATGATTTCCCTGGATCTAGGCACTAGACTCCTCTTGATGCAGGCCAGAATCCCATTGCCTTTTTTAGCTGCCGCATCACATTGTTGGCTCATGTTTAATTTGTTGTCCACAAGGACTCCAAGATCTTTTTCACATGTAGTGCTCTCAAGCCAGGCCTCGTCCCCCATTCTGTATCTTTGCATTTAATTTTTGCGTAGGCCATTTGCTGGATGGAGATGGGGGAGCATCCATCATCACTGAGGGCCAGGAGCCCCTCGATGGCCTTCCTGGCAATGAGGACGATGACGCGGAGCGGGAAGAGGGCCAGCGGGGGTCCGAAGGCCACCCCCGCACAGCCCAGGAACACTGGTAGCGTCATGACCATCCAGGCAGGCCTCTCCCCAAGGCACTTCCGGCCTCGCCTCCCCTGATAAATGCTGGTTATCCCTGCAAAAATGCCCACAACATTAAGGACATTAAAACATAGGTTGCTGTGAGTTTTCTGGACTCTATAGCCATGTTCTAGAAGCATTCTCTCCTGACGTTTCACCCACATCTATGGCAGGCATTCTTAGAGGTTGTGAGGTAAGCGAGGCAAGCGAGGTTTATATATCTGTGGCATGTCCAGGGTGGAAGAAAGAAACAATTGTGATCAAACTTTTAGTGTTGCTATAACCACAGGTGTATAGGTTGATAATTTTGATCCAGATTCTACCGTTAATGCCAATTAATGTATATTCATTAAATCAAAAGGATCCTCCTATTTGATTACTCTCTTTAAAACAATTGATTTAGTGCAACTACTCTAGTTAGAACCATTTCATAGAAGGTGGGTCTTTATTTGTAGTGTTGAGGTGAATTTTTATACTGCCAAAGGTGCCTTTCTCTCTGGTTTGTATAAAGTATAGTTAAAACAGTTCTGTCCTGTACAAAGCATTTCTGCTAAATAATGTCATGAGGTCAAAAGACAAAAACAATGGCAGTTCATGGCTTTCATGTCAGGGAGACACTGGATTTGGTACTGGTTTTGGTGTGACTGTTTAAGGGACTGTCCAAGGTGCTGAATTTTCTCCTCAAAGTAAAATCTTATCTCCTTGAATAGCTCCTTTAAAGTTTGGGCTGTAATCCAGAACAGATTCTGGTGTGGAAACCATCAGGTGCCACTAAACAATGGTAGCAAATATCTCTATTTGACAAACTACAAAGTCCATAGGATGGAGTCATGGCAGTGTGGATGGTTTTAGAAACTAGTGGGCAAGCTTTCAAGTTCTACAGAGCTCTTTGTCAAGCAGGATGTTAAACAATGAATATTGGAGGAGGACGAGTTGGGCCAAAGTCTGATCAGTAAAATAGAAGGCAGATGATGTTGGACAGATTGTCAAAAGTAGGTCCAATTGAAATCAAGGCTTATTACCCAAGAAGTGGCTGTAGGACTGCAGATTCAATTAGATTTGTCTCTATTTGGCACAAAACATTTCTACTTGCCAAATGTTGAAAGGAAAGTAACAACAGGGAGTTTTGGAGTGTCTTTGATTTGGATTCTGTCTAAGAATCCAGGAATTAGTGATCCGTTGTCATAATCATTATCATCATCATGGGTGCCAGAATACATCATAAAAAAGTAAAAATATTATTGGACTATCAATTATAAGTGATTTACCCATTACATTTTATACATAATTGAAAATTTAAAAACAACCAATAG